TGGCTTCCTGTATGCACAGCCGAACAGAAAAGGAGCTTTAGACAATACTGACCCCACAAGCCACCAAACACACCTGTTGCATCCTTCAAGGGACCCCCTTGCTCCTGCCACGAACCTGGGCACCACCCTGTGGAGGCAAGACACCAAAAGATTCAAATCAAGCCCCATCAAAGGCAGATCGGACAAAGACACGGGCAGGTGTAGGGACCCCTCTCCCCGATCCAGCGTCAGATGATTGAGGCATCTGCCTGTCCATTCCCAGTGCATGGGATGTACACTGCGGAGAGAGTCGGTACATGAAAGTCTGCTCACCGAAGTCTATGCTAGAAGGGGAGAGTCATCCATGTAGCCAGTCCAGTGATCCCCCAGTTTCTCAGCAAGGCCAGCACCTTGGCAATGCTCTGAGAAGCAAAGCCCAGGCAAAACTGATTGCTCAGTTTGGCCAGGCAACCAGCTCTCTCCATTTGAGAATTATGGAGGCCACTGTGCTCTTGGGAACCTTCTGTGCAGCAGTAAGATTTTTGTAGCCTTCCCCAGATCTGTGCCTTGCAATAGTCTGAGCTCTGCAGGCAGTTCCTTAGATCTCATGGTACATTATGCATTGTCAGCTGTGAGGCCTTTTATAAAGAGGTGTGTGCCTTTCCAAGTAATGTCCAATCTAATTAAAGCGGAGTTCCAGTCACACTGTAAAAAAAATAAAAGTCAGTATATACAAAAAAAAAAACCCCAAAAAAAACAGCCACTCATCTGTCTCTTGATCTCGCGGTGTCCTCCCCGCAGCCCATTCACCTGCCCTCCAGTGTTCTCTGTGCCAGCGTCTTCAGTGTGGTAACCCGGCTGTAACAACTTGTGGCTTCACAGGCGCGTACCCCCTGTGCATGCGCAAGTAGCACTGCGCTTTCTGAATGGTCCCGTAGTCTTCTGGGACCTGAAGACTACAGGGAAGGAGGGGGAGGACAACTTCCGCTTTTGATCACCTAGCTGACAGTAGCGGAAATTGATAGGTACTCGCTCCCCCCACCCTCCCCAAAGGTGCCAATCCTCAATGGGGAGCAGGGGACCAGTGTTTAAAGCGGAAACTTCCCCTTTTGGTTGGAGCTCCGCTTTAATATACCACAGGTAGACTCCAATCAAGAAGACAAAAAATATGGAAACACTACAATGAGTTGCAGGTGTGAAAGTGACAAGATGTTAAGTTGAAAGCAGAAGTGATGTAACATTCTTTTGCTTCTGCAAAGCACTCTTGCAGCAGCTGTTTTCTTATTCCGGGTCACAATCCTACGCAATGTCCTTTAGTCTCTTTCGGTCAGTTGACCATGTCGACTGCGCTTATGCTTATCAGACATTTTTCCCGATAACTGTATATGCCGTCATAACCTTTGATACTGCACCTTGCAACACGGCAAATAAATTGGCAACTTCAGTCACAGAGGCACCAGCTAAGCGGGCACCAAAAATTTTCCCTCTTTGATGCTTCGTAAGCTCTGCCATGATTATTATTTTTATTATTATACAGTATTTATAAAGCGCAAATAGTTCGCTCAGCGCTGTACATTACAAAAGGGGGACAGAACATGTGACAGAGCAATACTAATACAATGCAAAACATGAGGGGATCGAGGGCCCTGCTCTTTTGAGCTTACAATCTAGGAGGGAGGGGGTGGTGGCACAGGAGGAGATAGCTGTGGGGGATGGAGTGGTAGGAAGAGTGGAGGAGGTCGGCAAGTTAGCAGGGGGTGGGGTAGGCTTCCCTGAAGAGATGGGTTTTCAGGGTGCGCCTAAAGGAGAGGAGAGTAGGTGATAATCTGATGGTTTGGGGCAGGGAGTTCCAGAGGATGGGTGACACCCTGGAGAAGTCCTGGAGGCGGGCATGGGAGGAGGAGACCAGGGAACTAGAGAGAAGGAGGTCTTGTGAGGAGCGGAGTGTGCGTGCTGGGTGGTACTTGGATATTAGGTCAGTGATGTAGTTCGGGGCAGTATGGTGGACAGCTTTGTACGTCAGCGTTAGGATTTTGAATTTGATCCGTTGCGCAATCGGAAGCCAGTGGAGGGATTGGCAGAGGGGGGTGGCGGAGACAGAGCGGTTGGAAAGGTGAATGAGTCTGGCAGCCGTATTCAGGATCGACTGAAGCGGGGATAGCCAGCGGCGAGGCAGGCCAGTGAGGAGGGAGTTGCAGTAGTCGAGTCGTGATATGATGAGGGAGTAGATGAGCTGTTTAGTGGTTTCTGGGGTTAGGAACGTGCGGATTTTGGCGATGTTGCGGAGGTGGAGGCGGCACGAGTTTGTTAAAGATTGGACTTGGGGCTGGAAGGATAGGTTGGAGTCCAGAATGACACCCAGTACTCTGGCCTGCAGGGCGGGTTTGATGGTAGCGTTGTTGGATGTGACGGAGAAATCATTGGGGGGTGGTGTCCGGGCTGGGGGGAAGACAAGAAACTCGGTTTTGGAGAGGTTCAATTTAAGGAAGTGGAGCGACATCCAGTCTGATATGTCGCTCAGTAGGCGTGTGATTCGGGCTGAGACCATGGGGGTGAGGTGGGGGGTTGAGAGATAGATTTTTGTGTGTCGTCGGCATAGAGGTGGTAGTTGAAGCCGTGAGAGTGTACGAGTTGGCCAAGGGAGGAGGTATAGATGGAGAAGAGAAGGGGCCCGAGGACGGAGCCTTGAGGGACCCCAACAGAGAGGGGGAGTGAGGGGGGGTGGTAGCATTATAGGTAACGCTGAAGGAGCGTTGTGACAGGTAGGATGAGAGCCAGGAGAGAGCAGAATCTCTGAGGCCGAGGGAGTGTAGTTTTTTTGAGGAGGAGGGGGTGGTCGACTGTGTCGAAGGCCACAGAGAGGTCAAGGAGTAGGAGCACTGAATAGTGGCCATTAGCTTTGGTGGTTAGAAGGTCGTTGGAGAGTTTGAGTAAGGCAGTTTCGGTGGAGTGTAGGGGACGGAAGCCGGACTGTAGGGGATCGAGGAGGTTGTTGTCGTTGAGGTAAGAGCATAGGCGGGTGTAGACTAGGCGCTCGAGGAGCTTAGATGTAAATGGGAGCAGGGAGATGGGTCTGAGGTTGTTCGGGTCATTAGGGTCCAGGGAGGGCTTTTTAAGTATGGGGGTGATGTGTGCATGTTTCAGAGGGGAGGGGAAAGTGCCGGAGGAGAGGGAGAGATTAAAGATGTGGGTGAGGGAGCGTAGGATGGAGGGGGAGGGAGGTCGTAGGAGTTGTGAGGGGATAGGGTCGAGGGGGGCAGGTGGTGAGGCAGGCATCAGAGAGGATCTTGGAGACTTCCTCGATGGTAGTAAGGTCAAAGGTGCGGAGTGTGGGGGGAGCTTCAGTATGAGGAATGTAGGGTGGGGTGGAAGAGGAGGTCAGAGCAGTGGTGGGGCCGTGGGAGAGGGGTGATGAGGGGGTAGCTGAGTGAGGGTGAAGGGGGTTGGAGAGAGTTTGAGCAGCGACGAAGTCCCTGCGGGTTATGTCGAGGGGGAGGGGGATAAGGGGGTAGCTGTGTGAGAGGGGACGGGTTGAGAGGGCGTGTGAGTTGCGGCAATGTCCTTGCGAATTGTGTCAATCTTGTTTTTGAAGTGATTGCCAATCTCAAGGGCAGTGAGTGAGGTGCTGGGTGGAGGTGGGGGTGGAGAGAGTAGAGAGTTGAAGGCAGAGAAGAGTCGGCGAGGATTGGAGGAGAGGGCCTTGATGAGGGTCAAGAAGTAGGCCTGTTTGGCAGCATGGAGGGAGGAGGTGTAGGTGCGGAAGGCAGATTTATAGCGGGTGAAGGCTTGTTGGGATTTGGTTTTGCGCCATAGTCGCTCCAGGGCACGACTTTGTCGTTTGAGGGTTTTGGTGTGATCAGTCTGCCAGGGCTGGAGCGGTCGGGGTCTGATGTTGCGTGTGGTTAAAGGCGCTAGTGAGTCAAGGGCTGTTGAGAGCGCATTGTTGTAGGCGGTCAAAGCCAAGTCGGGGCAGGACAGGGGGAGGATGCGGTCGTGGAGTTGATCAGCTGCAGAGTGGAGGGAGGCAGGGTTAAGGTTGCGGAGGTTACGGCTGGTAGTAGTGTGGACATTTGGAGGGGTAGGCGTTGGAGGACGAGGAGATAGAGAAGGTGATCAGGTTGTGGTCAGAGAGAGGGAAGGGGGGTGTTAGTGAGGTTGTGGGGGGCGCAGCGGTTTGGAGAAGACAAGGTCCAGGATATTTCCGTCGGAGTGGGTGGTGGATTGTATGCACTGTGCAAGTGCAAAGGAGGAGGTTAGGTGGAGGAGACGGGCTGTGTCTGGGTTGTCGAGGTTGACAGGGATGTTGAAATCCCCAAGGATGATGGTGGCTCAGAGGAGAGGAAGAAGGGTAGCCAGGAGGAAAAGTCATCCAGGAAGCGGGGTATAGATCCAGGAGGCCGGTATATCACAGCAATCTTCAGGGGGTTGGGGAGAATAGTCGGACGCAGTGGGCCTCGAAGGAGGAGAAGGATAGGGAGGGGGGGTTTGGGAGGACTCGGAAGGTGCTCTGCGGTGACAGGAGCAGACCAACCCCACCACCTTTACGACCGTTAGGCCTGGGTGAGTGGGTCCAGGTGAGACCTCCGTAGGAGAGTGCAGCAGGGGAGGTAGAGTCAGTGGGCTGGATCCAGGTTTCTGTGATCGCTAGGAGGTTGAGGGGGAGCCGGAAACAAAGAGGTCGTGGATGGCGGTAAGCTTGTTGCACACCAAACGGGCGTTCAGGAGTACACATGAAAATGGGGGGGAGATTTTAGGGAGCAGGGGGACAGATTCTAAGTTGTGGGGGTTGCAGTAGGACGTGGAGGTGGGAGGGTGTTGAGCGGGTGAGGGAGGTGGAGGGCCAGGATTCGGGGAGATGTCCCCAGCGGCTAGGAGGAGGAGAAGGGTGAGAAAGGTGGCATGGGAGCGGGATGTGCAGGAGCGAGAGAAACTCCTAGTGGAGGTGTTTGGGTCAGAGGGAGAGTGGAGTAATAGGAGGAGGTGGTGGGTGCCATAGAGGGGCGAAGGAAGCAGTGAGGACACAATATACAATTGTTTGGGAGGGGCAGAGGAATATAGTGAATGGATTTTGGGAATGGAGGAGAGGAAAATGAGAAGGAGTGGAAGAGGCATTTTGGGGAGGTGAAGAGAGCAATAGTAGGGAGATGATAGCAGTGAGGGGGAGATGTACAGGTTGTGGGGTGGAGCAGAGGGGTAAAGAAATGAGATTTGGGAACAGAGGATAGTAATATGATAAGGAGAAGAGGGGTGTATTATATAAAAGGTACACGGAGTGGGACTCAGGCATGTAAGAGGTTTCCCAGGGTGTTTGCTTGCAGTCTTCCAGCATGCAGTAGAGCTTCTTGCTGTTGTTGTGTCTTCCTGCTGCTTGAGTTCTCCTGCTTTAGTTCAACTGCTGCGTTTAACTGCTTCTTCTATGCCCTCGTTCTAAGCCGCACTCAATCTGAAGCAGCACCCCCATCAGAGACTGTGCCCCCCATCAGAGATCTCCCCCATGAGCTGATCTAAATTTATAGGGAGATGCTCAAATGAACATTCAACTCCACCCCAATTAGAAGCTGATAAGGATCACATGAGTAGTGGGGGATGTTTCTCTCAGGAAACAGACACCAATCGTAAAACGGGTGCAGCTGAAGGTGAGAGCTGGTGAACATATACACAAATATAAATGATGAGGGGGTAGCTGAGTGAGGGTGAAGGGGGTTGGAGAGAGTTTGAGCAGCGACGAAGTCCCTGCGGGTTATGATTCAATATTACTAACAGCACGTGCAGTGAAAGACTAAAGTGAGGCTTCCCACCCGTTATCTAGGCGTCTTCTCATGCAGTGGAAGCAAAACAATGTTACATCACTTCTGCTTTCAAAGCATAACATGTATTCATCTTTACACCTGCAAATCGTGTAGTGTTTCCATTTTTTTGTCTAACACTTGTACATGTATGTATATATTCTCAGAAAATAAAAATTATGTATCGAAATGTGCTACCAAATTTAAGCCCTACATGTGCAGAAAAACACAAAAATGTATAATACAATAAGGCTATACTACAAAAACGCCAAAGTAATTTGCAAAACCGGAACAAATGCTCTAGGACTCAAGGGGATTTAGGGAGAAAAGCCTGGGGACTTAAGTGGTTAAAGTAGAGGGAAAAAAAAAATCTGAAATTTGCTTTAAAAGGGCTGGTTCACACACAAAAAACAAAACAAAAAAAAAACACACATCCACGAAACAATTCCTGTGTTTTCCCCCGCAGTGCGATTGGCAACCCATTTGTCTGAATAGACTGCAAATTACATCAGAGTCAACAAAACATTTCCTTACCTGGTAAAGTCTGTTAAACCCACCTGCACTGATGCAGTTTACGTCTGTGGGAACCACTAATCCAGCTCTGCACGTTAAAGCAGAACTAGAGTCTTAGGCAGGCCATAGACGGCCTGTTTATCGGCCGAATTTTCGGCCGATAAAACAAAAAAAAAAAAAAATTGGTCGGCCCCGTTGCCGATGCGGCCACCCATGCCCGTTTTTCGCAGATTTTCCAGCATGACCAATAAAAATAAATGAGGAGATCTGCGAAAAATGGCCGACAGGCTGGCCCCACGGCATGATTATAGGCCGAAATTTCGACAGATAAACGACTCATCTATGGCCTGCAATAAAGTTAAAAAACCTGCGAACAGACAGGCTATTTATTGCTGAAGAGACATGCAATGTCTCATCTGCAATAAAATAAACTTACCTGCCTCCTCAGTCTTCATTAGAATGTATACCGAGCTGTGCATGTGTAGCCAGGACGACTGAACTCATGCACATGCACTTTAAGCCTCATCTGGTCCCTTTCACTCCTCTGGCTCTGACATCAGATCTTTTCTAGATTCTAACAGGACCTCACTTGCTGGCTGACCAACGGGAATTGTCCACATCATTCAGGCAGTGACATGGTCACCCGGAAGAAAGATCCTAGCAGGGAGTTGACAGGAGAAAAATCCATAGCTGTATGATCACGTGACCACAGCTTCAGATAATTAAAAAATGGGAGTAGGAGGGGGTTACATTTCAGAATTTGACTTTAAACCTCGTACAATTTAAGGTTTGTCAGCACAAGCATACTGACTGCATGCATGCTAATGCATACACTGTCGCCAACCTGTAAAGTACTATATACTGAGTGCATACTCATCGGGAACTATGTCAAGCATACACTACAGACTACATTTACCAAAGTGCTATGCAAGGCTAACCCAGGCTTTGAGGTACATCAGGATATTTGACTTCACAGACTGAAATCACAAATATAGGCTTTGAGCTGTATCAATTACAAAGAGTCATTCAAAATGTTTGTGAGTCAACAGATTGCACTGAATCTCCAATCAGTAATGCTTCCTTAGCAACAGAAAAACTGTAATGCTGTTTGTAGGCAATTAGATGATGTTCCTCATGTGAAGAACATAGTTTGTGAACAACTCACAAACATGTATCAACTGTCAGTCGAACACTCACCCTCATCAATAGCCTGCATTAGGCACTCATATGTTGTCTGGACAAGCTTTTTTGGCTCCCTCCTCAACTTCTCCAATAAAAAACGTCTCATTGAGATCACCGTGATAACCATTGCGATAAACCGTAATGTCCACTGGAAAACACCATGACCAGAGGCTAGATTAAATGCTTGCATTTCAGAGATACTCTAAAAATACAAAATGGTAAAACTTCATTCTCTATTTTCTGTATTAAATATTGCTTAGAAATACCGTTTACAATGTCTCCATCCTGCAAAGGCCTCCTGTCTGGAATACCATGGCAGATCACTTCATTTACTGATGTGCAGCATGACTTTGGAAAGTTATAATAATTCAGTGGAGAAGGGTAACAGTTTCTTGAAATGCATGCCTATAGTGAATATGCAAGAAGCACATTAATAAAGAAAAAGATGATATTGCCCCAATTAAATATTCTGCGCATACAGAGACATACATTATGTCAGTTATGTAACCACGACTATACAATTTGCCCTCTTACAGTAGAACTATAGGCAAAACTTTTATATTCATTTTAGATAAAGGAAGGGAGGGTTATAACCCCTGATTTTTTTTTTTTTGTCATCCGTGTCCCATTGTAGAGTTTTCTTTTCACTTCCTGTCCCAGAACCAAACAGGAAGTGAGAGGAAATCCCTGCAAATTAAGGGAATTACTTGAGGATCCCTAGTTCACAGAATTAGTGTCCCCATTGAAAGATTTCCCCTCTATTACTTTTCTGGGGACAACCCAAAATTAGAGATTTTCTTTTACTTTCACTTTTAATGGTAAACAAGACAAACAGAGGATGAATCTAGTTAAGGGGGGAGCACACAGCAAAAAAAAAAAAATGACAGGGGTTCTAATCCCTCTGCAATTCATATAAAAAGAAAAAGAAAGTTTTGCCTTTAGTTATACTTTAATGCTTTTTCTCCATTCCCAGAGCTCCAATGCCAGAATTAGTTTTGCTAGACCAAGACTTGTTGTGCTAACACATCCACTTTACAATTATTAGGCAAGTGAGTATTTTGACCAAATCATCATTTTTACGCATATTGCCCAAATCCAAGCTGTATAAACTTGAATGCTTATTGGATTTAAGCACAAAGGGGATGTGTATTTGTGTAATGAGGGAGGGTGTGGCCTAAGGAGATCGATCAAGACCCTATATCAAGGTGTGCACAATTATTTAGCTTCTTTTCCTCAGGCAAAATGGGCCAAAAAAGATTTAACTGACTCGAAAAGATCAAAAATTTTAAAAAGTCTTTCAGAGGGATACAACACTCTTGAAATCACTAAGAAATTGGAGCATAATCATGAACCATCAAACGTTTTGATGCAGATAGTCAACAGGGTTGCAAGACATGAGTTGAGGGAAAAAAAAAAAAAAAAGATGCAAATTAACTGCCAAAGATTTGAGAAGAATCAAAACGAGAAGTTATCAGGAACCCATTATCCTCCAGGGCTGTCATATTCCAGGGCTGCAACTTACCTGGAGTGCTCAGACGTACAAGGTGTTCAGGGCTCAGGAGACATGGCCAAGGTAAGGACCGCTGAAACCCGACCACCACTGAACAAGACACAAAAGTTGAAACATCAAGACTGGGCCAAAAAATGTCTGAAGACAGATTTTTCAAAGGTTTTATGGACTGATGAGAGGAGAGTGACTCTTGAAAGACCAGATGGATGAGCCCATGGCTGGATCAGTAATGGGCACAGAGCTCCACTTCGACTCTGCAAGGTGAAGGTGGGGTACTGGTATGGGCTGGTATTATTAAAGATGAGCTAGTTGGACCTTTTCAGGCGGAAAACAGACTCAAAATCAACTCCCAAAACCTACTGCCAGTTTCTAGAAGACTTTCTTCAAGCAGTGGTACAAGAAAAAAGTCTGCATCTTTTAAGAAGACTATGATATTTATGCAGGACAATGCTCCATTCCATTGCATACATCAAGGTAATCCACTGTGTTTTTTGCCAGTAAAGGCCTTAAAGTGGAACTTCACTTTCTCAATCAACATTGAATATTTTGAATCCTTATGCTGAAAGCATTAGTAAATTGATAGGAAGGTATATAATATTTACTTGTAAACTTTTTTTTTTTTTTACATTTCTGCAGTCACGTCCTGGTTTCCATGCCTAGGCAAATGACATCATACATCCCCAGCAGTCTTCAGGAGGGGAGTGGGTTTTCTCAGCTTAGCAAATGCCTAAGCTAAGAGCAGATGGATTAAAGTAAATGCTACACAAATCATCTGCCCTTACTCAAGGTGGCCACTGCCAGAAATGCCAGGGGGGGGGTTGTTCAAAATGAATTGTCGCAAAATTAAGCATTGAGACATGGATGGATGGGGGAGTTTGCTTTGAATATTAACAAGGATTTAAATAACATTTTTGGTTTGTGGTGCTCAGATCGAGTGCAGTTCCTCTTTAAAGGTGAAAGAATAATTACATGGCCCCTTTCCTCACATGACCTAAACCCTATTAAGTACTTGTGGACCCCTATTAAAACAGGAAATTAACCTTGAAGAAAAACAGTGCACCTTTCCGAATAATTTCTGGGAGGCTGTGGTTGCTGCTGCACAAAAAAGTTGATAGTCAACAGATTAAAGAAACTGACAGACTCCATGAATGGAAGGCTTAGGATTTCTTGGAAAGATAGATGGCTATATATGTCACTGTTTTTTCTTTTCCGAAATGTCAGAAATTGAGTTCCTTGTTTATTATTCTCACTTTAACAGATGAGAACAAACAAGTGAGATGGGAAAAAATTTCGATTTTCATTTATAATTCTGCACACTAAAATCCCAATAACTGTGCACACAAAGATATTCTCCAAAGAAAGCCATAACCGCAGTTACTCTTTAAATATTCAGGTTTCTTAACATTTTGGATTGACCGAAAGCACTGTAGTTATAATGAAATGAATCCTCAAAAATACAACTTGCCCAATTGTGCACACAGTGTACACTGAAACATTTGAGTTTTGCTGGCAAAGTATGCACAAACAGATCAACATTTTCAATGATCTATGCATGTGTAGCTGGATAAATGCAACCTTAAGGGCAACTCCACTTTCATGGGAAAAATCTAGCAAAAAAAAAAAAAAAAATTAAATATAAACAACTGCTACACAAGCCACATTATAATTTAATAGTAAAAATGAACTGTAATTTTCTGTTCAACGCAATATGGAGATGTTCTGTACACAGCTAGTGTACAGAATGCCTCCACAGGAACTCTGCACTAAAAAACAAGCCAGGTTATAGGCACTTTCTGCAACAAAAAAGTTCATTTTTGGCGAGATACTTGTGACAGAACCCCTGTCACCCAGATTGGGAAATTTCGTCAGAGAATGGCTTCCTCGCCGCTAGGACACAGGACCAAGGTATTATAACCAGGCAATGCACCCAAGAGTAGACAACACTAGCTTAGATGCCAAACTGGAACACTTTATTGAACAGAAACACCGATTTATATACACTTCAAGAATAGAAGCAGTCCCCACATGAATAAAAACAAATCTTATACACTCAGATAAACATCACACAAAAGGTTTGGTAATAAGGTAAAGTGGACATAGTACTAGTCACATCTCTAGGCGGACTAGCAGACAGACAGAAACAATAAGTGACTCAACTGACTCACTTAACAATGAGAATGCACACCCAGGAGGCACACAATGGTAGAAAGACAGTAAACACAATGCCTTAATAAACAGATTAGAGCTAGAGTCTTCTGCATCAGGTTGTTTTGAGAGGATTATATCAACATCTTCTTAGAGCAAGCCTAGGAAGAAGAGCTTGAAGCAGTCAATGCTTGTTAGGGCACAGAGACCCCAAATCTTTATCCTAATGCTCCAGTTCTCAGAGGCTCTGTGTTTTGGGGAGACATGATCATGAATCTGAAGTAACACTACTCCAAAGGTCCCCCCCTTGGCACACACACCACCCAAAACAGAGCCTCCTCAGATGCCAGGGCCACGGTCAGTAGGCGAGAGGCTAGCCTGCAGTCCCCTTCAAAAGACCCTGTCCCGGTTGGCCCTGTCACATTTCTCCCCCCTCAAAAGATGACTAACCAGGTCCCAGACCTCCACCTGGACATGTGTTAGTTGGGCAGAGTGAACCCACATAGTCGGATCACACCATCTCCATTCTTGGCCGCAGGGAAGTGTGATAATCGGCAGATGAGGGGCAGGGGTTGTGAACCCTCTGTTTGACTGCCAGTGCTTCAGCTGGGAGGTCTACCATTTCCAGGGCTCAGTCTGTTGCTGGGGAGAGGGGCTGGCTGCCCTAACTCCCTGAAGCTGTGAAGACACGAGGTGCTAGCACAGAGGCCAATGGCACTCTGCCCTGCTGCCAGCTCTTCAGCTGGGAACCCCACATCCTACACTCTAGCTGACTGTGGGGAAGGAGGACAACCACTCTCCCAGACTGTGGTCTTGCCGCTTGGGAGGGCAACTACCTTCCCTCCCTGGTCCTTGAACTGCCATTGGGGGGGGATGAGCCAGCTGCTCCATCTCCTGGACTTCTGCTGTGGAGCGACTTTCTGAGTCCCTACACTGCTGCTGGGAAAGGAAACCAGTTTCCTCCACTCTGGTTGACTATTGGGCCGGGACGAAGACCACCTCCCTTCCTGGACTGTGGAACTGTCGCTGGGGAGCGAGGATGACCACCTCCCTTCCTAAGTTTTATTCTCTTTCAAAAGGGATGCAAACACTACAACTTTTCACATCAGAACACTGAATGTGCATCAGGCGATTATGAATTAGTCTTTCCCATTCAGAATCACTGCGCACAGGACACTGCAACAAACCGGTATTTCTTCAAAGCAGAAACAGGTAGAAAACTGTAATAAAGTTTATTAAAATCCTTCCAAATGTACATAGATCATCCAGAAGGGATTTTTTTTCTCTCACCAAAAGTGGAGTTACTATCTAAGCAAAGTCTGAATATTACAAAACTTGATTACACAATTGAAGATTTTCAGAAACTGCCATATAGTTAGCAATTGGTATGATTTCATTTTGGTTCTGAAAATTTAACTCAATGATGAAGTAACCAGGCAACATCTTCTAAACAAGCCAAATAAGATCAGAGTAAAAAAAAAAAAAAAGACTAGGTCCTAAGAGAATGAAGGAAAGCGGTCATAGAACAGGTCTAAACTTAAATCATGTCTTATTTTTTTTTTTTTTTTTTTTTTTTTAAGGCTCTATAGCACAACTGAGGGTCTGTTCCAGCACCTGAAGTACAGTATTTAAAAGTATAAGTTCCCCTTTGGAACATGTTACATGGTCAACTAGTTTCTAGGGTGGAACATGTAACATGTTATAGCATTTGCACCTCTGTCCCTTTGATCCCCCCTCTGATACTGGGCGGGGGATCTTCTCCTTGCACCCACTGTCACAATTTGAAAACAGCATGGCTGTGTGGATGGCATTCACAATTTCCTGTGAAATAATATACTACAAGTACTGTCAGATATTGCATTTGGTAGCTTGTTGTTCTCAATAAACTACAAGGCTACTGGTGAGCGCTCTTGAAGTTCATTGATCTTCCTGCTCTCAAGTAGCTACCTGCCCCTGCCTCGTACAGGCAGACAGCTATCCTGAGAATCTGTAGGAACCTGACATTGAATACGCAATCTGCAGTTCGTGAGTGCAATGTTCTGCAGGAAAAAAAAAAAATTAATGCACATTTTTACCTGCAAAAGAATGTGCATTTATTTTTCAAAATGTGAACTTAGCCTTTAAACCTATTCCCCCCAAGACCAAGGTGGCTCACCCATTTTTCATTATAAGTTTAACACTTACTATATTCCTACAAAATCAAAAGACCAAAGATGTGATATAATAGCCACAAATGTTAAAAACATTTCAAAGCATGCAGTTTTAGAATACATAAGTGAAATTAGCTCTCACCAAATGGACAGCATGGTCTATCTCCTCAGTAGTGACTCCAGGTCTAACCATCATGGCTGCAACTCCAAGTACTTCTCTTGCCAGCTAAAAGTAAATAGAACACAATTTGTAGAATACAATGGTTATTATAGGTTAGTGTTATACACAACTAAATGCTGGAATCTAAAATAGAATTAAGATTTGTCCATTACTGCGCTGAGAAAGAAGAAAAGAGAAAAGAAAAGCATAAATTTCATGTTGAATCAGAACTTCAGAGAATCAAGACTGCACCATCAAAATAATGCAACGACACACACACACACACACACACACCTACCCTACACACTATACGCATTCCTTCAATATCTTCTGCAGAAAGAATTTTTATTTGTGAAGTTCCTTTTAAGGCTTGCTCAGACTCGGACATTCCTGGGGAAAAAAAATGAAATATAAATGCATAAATCACCATTAAAAGGCAAGTCCAACCAAAGCCCATACAACAGTTCTGGATAGATCTCAACCAGCAGAATCAACTGCCGACAAGCATCTTGTGTGTAAAATATAAAATAAATACATAAATATGCACCAATAATCTATACATATTTTTAAAGGTCTTTTTTTACATAATGTACGATAGCAGGTTTTATATTTACCAGGTAAAGCATGGATGGTAAAGCACACAAGGGAATGGGTTACAGTATCAGCACATACACAGTCTGCAAGATTTTCAGCTTGTGGACCAGTAGCCAAAATACGGAGATATAGATATATATACATACATACATACATACAACCTCTGTGCAAGGACCCAAAATTCTGTCAATCACCAGCTTTCTGCTCACTGAGGACCCTGAACTGAATGATCAGCAGTCTTTGAGGCAGTGGGCGATATATATGCAACATCAGACCGATGTTGCATCCACCTAGGTGAGTATGATTGATTGTTAATTAAACTTCTCCTTTAATGGTCAAAAGGAGAGGCGGCATCCTAAACCACATACATTTTGGATCCCTCTGGCGCCTACACAAAATAGATGTTAAAGTATATAAAAGTCATATAAAAATTACCTAAAGGATGATCTGCATAATCTGGCCTCTGTATATAACTTGAGACAGGTCGCATGGGTGTCTATAAATGAAATAAAGTGAAAAACAAGTGATGGAGCAGACTTATGGTATACAAGAATTCTATGTTTGCAATAAAATCTCCAAAATGGTTCTATTCTATTAGTGCAATAACATTTTTTTTTCTCTTGGATTTAAAACCCAGTGATGCAATAGGCATATACAGGAGATTCTTCTATGCCCAGGCAATGCAAGGATCTCAGAAACATCACCTTCCTTCACCACGTATTGAGACTACAACTCCCATAATGAGAATTCATATACACAACAGGTGTGTATGTTGTTGGAATTGTGAGAATTTTCATGCTGGAATCAGAAGTGCGACACTCACTGCGGCATACACTGTACAACATGGTCTTTTCAGCTACGTTTCTTAATACATAAAAAGGGCATATTAAATGATTATGTACCCCTCATGCATATTATGCAAAACAAGCAAAGTGTTTACAGTATAAACAGAGTATTGAGTGACGAATAAATAGGAGAGGCTTTTAGAGTGAAACAGAATACGGATTTCAACAGCCTGCCTATTGCAGGGATAGGTGGGCATGGCAGGCCAAATGTCTCCTGGCCTGTCACTCAAATGAAGCAAGGAGAGCAGATGGGTCATAATGGGATTCTGACACCCCTAGGTCCATCCGCCACAGCAAGCAGCAATGTAAATGTCACTGCTCACTGTAAAACTACAGAAGATAAGTTACAAGACCAGAGGTTGGGGGGAAAGTGGGCATAGCGACCACCAGTCATATGAAGAGGACACAGTCCTTTTACAGGGTAACTTCAGCACTGATCTGTGAATGAGAGGATAATTGTGGGAAAAAAAAAAAAAAAAAAAAAAGCAAAGCATCCCTCTAGGACAGCAATGGGCAAACTACGGCCCGGCGAACCTTTTAATCCGGCCCGCGGAGCTAGGCTCCCGCTAGGCTCCTCTCACAGTCCGCCCTGAAGACCGATGTAGCATGAAAATCTGTCTCCTATGAGGATCTGTCCCCCTCAACGTATCTGCGCATGTGCCGGAGATCGCCGATCGGCTGCTAATGCCTGAAACTGGCACATGCGCAGATACGTCGAGGGGGACAGATCCTCACAGGAGACAGATTTTCATGCTACACCGGAACGGCGCGGGAAGACGACGAGAGGAACGTGCGGAGCAAAGGTAAGTGAATTGACACAGGGGGGACTTGGGGACTTAATATGGGGGATGAATTACTATATGGGGGAATGAATTACTATATGGGGGGAATGAATTACTATATGGGGGGAATGAATTACTATATGGGGGGAATGAATTACTATATGGGGGGAGAATTACTATATGGGGGGAGAATTACTATGCTTACTATGGGGGAATATTACTATACTTACTATGGATGACACATACACATCATTCAACTACTCTTGGTCCGGCCCAATATATGAACCCATTGCGGCCCTCAAGTCAAAAAGTTTGCCCACCCCTGCTCTAGGAGGAAACACCCAAAAGTAATTTGCTTACTTTCTTACAAAGATGCGTGTAAAAGCTGTTGCACAGTCGTGACCAAGAAATTTAAACTTACCAGTGGATAGTGTGGTCTAAGTTTTCCAGTATATCTATAGCCTGGCCAAGGATCTGTGTTGGCTTCACCTTCCATTGTCCATGGGGAAACCTCACGCTTGCCTTTGTCATCTTCTATATTACAAAACAGAGACATTATTACAGTTAAATACACATTTTACTTTATAACTATTTTTTATACTGATCAGCCATAATGTTAGGACCACTAACAGATAAAGTAAATAACATGGATTATCTTGTTACACTGCCATCTGAAAGTGGACAGGACATATTAGACAGGAAGTGAACATGTCCCTGAAGTTGATGTGTTGAAAGCAAAAAAAATGGGCAAGAGTAAGGATTTGAGCAATCCATAAAAACATACACATTAACTCAAATTGCTGAAAAAGTTAATGCTAGTTCTGATAGGAAGGTGTCGGAAAACACAGTGGGGTTTATTTACTAAAGCTGGAGTGTGCAAAATCAGGCTCACGTTTGCATAGAAAGCAATTAGCTTCCAGGTTTTATTGCCAAAGCCTAACTAAACATGCTGAGGTCAGAAACTGATTGGTTTCTATGCAGAAGTGAGCCATATTTTGCACTCTACGACTTTAGTAACTGAACCCCAGTGCCTCAGTTTGATACATATGGGGCTGCTAGCTGCAGAAAGGGTCAGTATGCTCATGCTGACCCCCCAGAAGCTTGAGGGCTCTATTTAGTTGCCTTTGGCACAGCCAAAAATACCTACAATGGGCATGTGAGCATTAGAACTGGACCACGAAGAAATGCAAGAAGAAGATCACCTGGCCTGGTGAGTCATGTTTTGATGGCACCAGGATGCACTATGGAAAGAAGGCAAGCTGGCGAAGGTAGCAATCTGCTACTGATGGTTTGGTGCCAGAGTACCACAGCATGCTGCAATTTCAGAAGTCTAGTGAGGTCCATGCCTCAATGTGTTAGGGCTGTTTTGGTGGCAAAAGTGGCCCTACTCAATATTGCGCGAGTCATGTTATGGTTGGAGGGCATAATGTATGGCTGATCAGTGCATATTATTTTGCTGTAACACAAGACTCTCCATATCAAGGGCAAAGAAAAAAAACAAATAGGGCAATTTTTCAAATCTAGCCCATTTGTACAGAAAATAAACAAAAGCTAAAAATTCTCTGTGGTCTAAAAAGAGTCAGTGTTTGTAGTGCTAAAGTACACCTTGTGGCAAGTAAACTGTGGTAGTCTTAAGCCTGATAACATGTATCTGGGGAGAATTTTAGATCCTAGGTCAAGGAGTCAAAAAGGGCTTCAAGCTTCTCTCCAAGTCTATATTAAGCATTGCTGGCTCCTACTGCTCCTCAGTCCCACCATTATTAATCAACATTCAAAAGTCAGAACTTCAGTGGACAGTGGAGGTACTGGAATTTGACAGCTGAATGACAGATGGCAGGCTTGGTGTCACAAGAGGCCAGGCTTAAGTTCAATTTGGAGAGCAGTCAATGTCCTGTACAGCCTGGGCCAATCATCCAAACAGCTCAAAGGCACAGGTATCAGTTTGAATCGTAGTAGAGGCGCTTGCACTTCAGCAATGTTTTACCATTAGGTCCCTTTTAGGTCAGGTCCACTTGATCATAAAGTATTTGTAATATTAGTATGTCACCAGCTGAATGTTTTGTATGAATGACAAATGTCATAGTATTTTGTTCCCATTTCATAGTGAATATTTTTGCTGTGGCTAGAGTCCATGCATTCTTTTGCAGTGAATATGACACAGTGGGTGGGGGCCTGCTCTGCATTATCTGCTGGACTTGTCAAGCTATTTCTCTTAGCATGCATCTTATTTCAGCTGACACAGCACCGATCTTGTGTCACCAGAGACCCTTGCAAACATTTTTTTTTTTTTTTTTACACAGCAAACTTTGACAGCAATTGCAATAACCAAGCAAGAGGAAACAAATCAACCATATTAAATAGTTCATATCCAGTCATATTGGGTAGATTTGTATTTTCTACTCAGAAATATGACAATTATTTGCCTTGTGCGTAAAGCTGCTATGCTCACATTCAGTCATAGAAATTCAATCAGGATGTTATATTAGGCCAAACTACTTACTTGCTTTTTTGTGCAGTAATTTGTGTGTTGCCCAGCTTCCTCTGAAACATTCCTGCAAAGGAAAAAAAAACAGAAAGCTATGATCTCTTTTGAAAAACACAAGATAGGTTTTCTTTAATAAAATAAAAGATTAATAACCTGACCCTTAGTCCCCATTCATATACGAGAGTTTTTCTTAGTGGTGCACCGAAATGAAAATTCTGGTGCCAAAACAGATACTGAAAATTCAAAATGCATGTGGCCGAAAACCAAACCGAAATGTCTGCGCATGTGAGGAGGCTCCAATTTTTTATATATATATATATATATATATATATATATATATATATATATATATATATATATATATATATATATATTTTTTTTTTTTTTTAACTTATGATTTTATTGCTAAGACATAGGGGACCAATAGTCCTCTATGTGATAGCATATGAGTGACAGGCCATCTTTGTATGGGGGGGTGGGCAGTGTGTGCAAGGAGGGGCTAGGAGAGGATATGTGATAGCATTTAAAAACCAGTACTGACATATAGGGGTTTATTTACTAAAGCTGGAGAGTCCAAAATCAGACTCCCTTCTGCATAGAAACCAATCAGCTTCCAGGTTTCATTGCCAAAGCTTCATTGAACAAGCTGAGGTTAGAAGCTGATTGGTTTCTATGCAGAAGGGAGTCTGATTTTGGACTCTCCAGCTTTAGTAAATAAACCCCATAGTGACAGCCAGTGAGGGAGCCTCTCTGTAAACACTGCTCCTCTCGTACCCACTCCTTGCACACACTGCCCACCCCCCCATACAAAGATGGCCTGTCACTCATATGCTCTCACACCCCCTCTCCTATTTGTATGGGGGGGTGGGCAGTGTGTGCAAGGAGGGGGTAGGAGAGGAGCAGTGTTTACAGAGAGGCTCCCTCACTGGCTGTCACTATATGTCAATGCTGGTTTTTAAATGCAATTGGCAGCTTTTTTTTTTTTCTTCACCATAGCTCAGAGAATGAATCAAACTTTGTTTCTATTATCTCGGGAAAGAAATTAAAAAGAAACGGTTTCTTTTAGCTCGGGGAAAGTGACAGCTGATTCTCTGAGCTATAGAGAAGACAAAAAAACCTGGCAATTGCATTTAAAAACTGGCACTGACATATAGTGTCAGCCAGTCACTGTATACACTGCTTCTCTCCAGCTGCCTTTCTCCGCCGCCACCCCCCTTATATCTGCAGTACACACAGTCCCCTGTATCGCCTAAATTTTTCCTATCGGCAAAATGCCGATAGAGCCATTTTCGGCCAGTATGTTTCGATGGCCGAAATTTTGGTGCATTCCTAGTTTTTCTATGCCTGACTACACAGAATCCCATTCTTTCCAAGTGTGCTTATTCACACATGTATGCTCAGTTGCCCTAGGAGAAAAATCATCAAAACCACCTGATCTAATAGAAGTCCATGACAAAGAGCAGGTAAACCGCATGAAAACCACACTGTGCTGTATACCCACATCAGTATGAAAACACCCTTGGGGTAAAAAAAATAAAGAGCAGCAAGGGGCAGCCCTTAACGCGAACTGCATTGGCAAAGCCATCTGAATAGAGCTCCCAAGTATCTGGGGGGAGCAGATAGCTGTAGTAAGTATTACAGACACTTTTTTTGTTTCAAAAAAGGGAAACCTGTACAGAGGGAAGCACGTAGGTCAATGTTGTACACCACTCCTGAAAATGATAGGCGCTTGGCTGTCGCTGTTCCAATGGCTTTAGTGCTTTGAGCTGCTGACCTAAAAAAATCTGAACTTTGGTACAAAATGTTCTTGCTGGCTGCTATATATAAAAAAAAAAAAAAAAAAAAAAAAAAAAAAAACCACACCTTACTGCACAGCACAATTCTGATCAAAAACTTAAAAAAGACTATAACAGGTTTCTGGAATGTGATGATCCTATTTGTTTGGCTGAACATAATCCTTTGAGGGTGGAAAGAAATGATCAAACTACTACTATGGTGATATGGACAATGTATTTGACTAAGAGAGAGTTTTAGAAATGTATTTAACTTACAAGAACACACAAAAAAATGAGGGTGTCAAGAAGGCGTACTGCATCTTTCTTCTTTTAATAGCCCCGATGTTATTTTTAGCTGCATAGTGAACTCTTGTCACCTGTTATTCAATGGGTGCTCCCTGGATGTCATTTCTCTTTCTGGTGTGCATGCGACTATAAAAATCTCACCAGCAAAATTCATCCCAATATCAGATTGCTGTCCCCATACTTATGAAAAAACCAAAAACACACATGAATATTTCTAACTAAAAAAAAAAAAAAACATTTAGCTGGTCTTAAAAATGTGGCCAGACTATGAAAATATATACATAATCCTAACAAGCAGTACAACTTTAAAACAAGACTTTGGTGAACTCTGTAGTTGCATGTACTGTTAAATAATTCATTCAAAAAGCTAAAGTGATATTAAAAGGTTCAGATTTAAAAAACAAAACATGTTATACTTACCTGCTCTGTGCAATGGTTTACCACAGAGCACACCTGGCTCCTCCCCCCTGCTGAGTGCACTAGTAAATGCTTGCTCCTGAGAGTGTGTGGTTCGGCTCCGCCCCCATTCTCAGTGGCTGTGACTGACAGCAGAAGTGCTGCTGCTGCGTCTCAGCCAATGAGGATGCAAAGACAGGGGAGAGCTGCTGCTCTTGTGCACATAGCTGGATCGAGATCGGGCTCAGGTAAGTATTGAAGTACTGGAGGTGGGGAGCGGCACACTGACGGTATTTTACCTTCATGCATAGAATACATGACGGAAAAAAACCTTCAGCCTCCCGAAACACTAACTAGGTACGCAATTCATTTTTTTTTTCCTTACAGGATAACTCCACGTTTGTGGGGAAAATGGTAAATAGAAAAAAATATATAGTATATACAATTGTGACAAGTCATTGTAATTTAATATTAAAAATTACCTTTCCTTTTCAATCTGTAGCGCTATCATTTTCTGTAAAATGCAGTTCAATATGGCTACCTGGAGGTGTTCTGTATACAGATGGTGTACAGAATGCCCCCCAGAAATGTCATTTTCTGCTTGTGTAATTGGCTGATTTTCCCAGCAGTCTGCACTAAAATACAAGTCACTTTTTTGGCATCCCCTGCAACAAAATGTAAATTTTGGTGAGACACTTCCAAAAGGAAAATCAAGTCTAAGTGCCTGGTAACACCAGGTGCGACTTGCCATGCGAGTTTCAAATTGCATGGCAATTTGCACCCTATTGTCCACAATTAAAGCAGTCATAATGGTGTAATTCCAACTTGGTCGGAGCCGTACCAATTTTTAAAGCAGTGCATGCACTACTTCAGGGGCGACTTGCAGACATCTGTCTTTTGCAAGCCACAGATGTCTTGCAAGTTGCACCCCAAGTCAGAATGATATCCGAAATCATGCAACTTCACTGGAAGTCACACAATGTCAAAAGTTGGATCGGCATGATCGGGGTGTCAAGAGATGCAGACCCTGCAATTCTCCTCCGTAGAGCCCTGCAGGTGCAGCAGCCATACAGATTCACTCTGCCCATGGACACAGACAAGCAAACAGCTATGCCTTCTGAATAACAAAATAAGGTAGGAATCTGCAATAAAGTATGTTAAAATCCTTGCAATGTACATTGATAACCTAGAGGGGAATGATTTTTTTCCCCAAAAATGTGGAGCTTTTGTTGTGATAGATGGTGAAACTACAATACTCACAGATAAAATACAACTGCAAATGGGCTTACCTGTTCACAATCTTGCTATGCCCACCAAAAAAAAAAAAAAAAATTTAGTTTTAATGTAACCTTTTTCTTCAAGGCGTACTGTGTGATTTGAAATGTATATGCTAAGCATTTAATGCTAATCCCGTCTTCAATAAAATGCATCATAGACACAAAAGGCTAGGTGCAGACAAAAGCTACCCACCCACTTTGCATTGTACACAGGTTAATTTCCTGAGTCATGTAGAGGGTGGAGAGGAGACACAAAGCAGATACATCAGCTGTTTCTAAAAGCAGTTAGGTAAGCAGGTGCAATATTTTTTGCCAATTAGATTTTAACTTTCTTTAAAGGTTTTAATACAACACCCACCCCATCAAAAAAATAAAAATAAACTGAAATGTGAATGGCTTGAACGCAAAAAAAAGTTGCGTTTTTGATTCTATAGACTTCAATGGGAACTATTTATTGCGTTTTAAATCTGCCTAGCAACAAGAAAAATGTTAAAAAAAAAAAAAAAAAAAAAAAAAACGCATCAAAAGCACAGCAAGAACTCAAGTGCAAAAAGGCAAACCGCAACACAACGCAATGCAGAAACGCATCAAACGCAACCTGCATAGGTGTTAACCTAGGGTAAGGCAGGCTATTAATTTGAACTGACTGCCTTGCACAATAAAAAAGATGCATGTACTAGGTTTTGTAATGCAGCACGGTACAAAACATAGTAGTGTGTTATCGTGCCTTTGGCAAGGTTCAGAAAAAATTGCACCATATCTTAGGAGTCTTTTGCAATCCCCTATACATTATGATGCAAAAACTAAGGCAGCATAATTTTCTAGAATGTGGCTACACAAGCTGCAATTTAAAGTCACATAGGTGGTAGCACAAGATAACTGTCTTTTAGTTCTTGAAATCCCCTATACATTACCAATCATAATCAGAGAACAAGAGGCAGGACTAGGAGCTGATCAGGCAAATGTACTGACAAGCACCATAATAGGAATGGAAAGCAGACAGAACAGAGGGGTGATTTCTGAAATCTTCTGCTGCTCCTACCCTGTTCAATCAGCTGGAGAAAGTGATATATTCCTTCCTCAGAGAGATTCCAAATCCTTTGGAAGGTAAAACAGTTACCATATATGTATTACATCTCTGCATTTGCCTGGAGTTCAGCATTAAAGGATAAGTTAATCTGTGGAACATGTTACACCCGTTTTTAGGGTGGAACATGTAACATGTTCTCATAGCCGCAGCCGCCGCCCCCCCCCCCCCCCCTCCCTCTTACAGATAGTATGTACTATCTGTCAGATTTGAAAACAGCGTGGCC